GAAACTATATCATCAACTAAAGATATTTAAAATTTTTTAAAATTTTTTAATAATTTCATAATAATTCACAATTATTAAGTTCTATTAAGATAGTACAAAATGAATAGTTGTTAAATTATTAAAATAGAATTGTTTTTGAATGTTTGCTACTATTTTTAAATATTATGTATTTTTTTAAAATTTTTTAAAAAATTTTAAATATAGTTTATACTATTTAAGAAATATTAAATTATTTTAATAAGGGTGTGGCAACCTAGTGAAGTGGTCAAGTTGTCAACCTTTCAACTGGTAGGTTGGGTGTTCAAATCTTATTGACAGTGAAAATTTAGATAATCACCTATATAATATTTGTATTATAGCAACTGTTACTAACGATTGGGTTAGGATACCTGTAATTATGGTTGCACCAGTATGACTGGCAGGTCATGGGGCATCTGTGCAATGTTGAAGTTATACAGAGAAATGCAAACCAACAAATCAGATGGTGTAAACACTAGATAAGTCCTTGTGGCCATATACATTCATTGAAATTGGATAACAAGAAGTCCATTTAGAAAGACTTGAGTAGAAAGGTAGCTGGATCTTCGACGGCTCTACTGTAAAGGCTAGCCCAGTGAAATAGATACCCAGGTCTAGTACCCAGTCCTAGTAGCTGGATGGGTAAGAACCTCTGGGTTGGGAGTCTTGGAGGTACTACCAACTAGGCCACCAGAATGAACCGAAGGAAAAAGATATCAGGCCGATCTAATATACCAATGGACTGGTCATAGTCCTATATGGACTATCTGGATTGGGAGTTTGGTAAAAGGACAGAGGAAAAGGCAGAGGTATACTAAAGTACTGGGGTTATGCTGTGAAGTAGATGCTGAGGTCTAAGTGAACTCTACAAAGGCATAGCAGTTTAATAGTTAGTCCTGATCGCAAGTGTTGGTTCTGCCATAGCGATACCTAGGTTAGCTGTAAAAATAGGTACAGAAGGCTCTGGAGGGTTTACTTTAAAGATAAATTAGTCCTAAGGTTGAGGATAATGATCTGGTACATCTGAGATGACTAGTGATGTTAATACAAGTTACAGATTCAGAGGGTTTAAAGTAAAACATCCAAGCAAGAGTGTTAAATATAGCAATTGGTAGGAAACCTTCAGGTGGACTCCTTAAATAGGTAATATAAAAAAGTTATATGTGTAGCCAATTGTACACTCTCCTGTAGTGGTTCATTGAATTACAATACTGATAAGTGATTAATAAAAGTTAAAAGACCAAAGAGGTCACCTTAATACCAAAAAAAAAAAAATACATACTAAGCCTATTTTATGTAATAAATATATATATATTTTTAATATATCTAAAACATTAAAATTATTATCATTACTGTTGCAAATTTTAAATCATTTTTATAAGGCTATACAAACTTAATTAATCGGTTTTTATAAGCTGACTGAGTCAAAATTTACAAAACTTTAAAAAAAATTTTAAGTATACTTACTAATTAGATGAATTTATTTAAAAAATTTATAAAAAATTTTATATATTTTTTATATATAAATTTTTTAAAATAAAATTAAAAGTCCAGTTATGAGTCACTTTTGAAAATTTTATATTATGAAAACTGATTTATTAAGTTTGTATAATCTAAGTTTCAAAATATTTATTGGACTGATAAAAATGTTTAAATTTGATATATATAAAAGTAAGAACATGATAATAAATTTTTGTTCACTCAGTTTTAAACTTAGCAATTACCAGTAGTTTTTTAGACAAATTTTATATCTAACAAAATAAATGCTATATATATATCAAATATATAAAGAGCTTTAGTAGTTTAGTTGCAAGTCATATTGTATTAGTATCAATATATAAATCATAATTCTATTAGTTGATTTCATTAATTATTATGGAATACCAAAAAAGGAAATTTGAAATATGGTTTGGTAAAATCAGTCTTTATTTTAAAGTAAAACCTTCATTTTATGCATGGTTTTTAATATTTAAGATAAAATAAAATAATATATTTAATTATTTTAATTAATTAAATATATGTTCAATAAAAATAAGTATATAAAACAAGTTATATAAATGGAGTTAGTCAGAAGATAAATATACAGTACTTAAAATTTTTTTTTGGTATTGATTTAGCTAAGTTATAAGAAACAATACTATTTGCAATAAGCATATTTTTTTCTTCAAACTTGTATCTTATATGCCTTATTGCAGAATCATTATTAGTTGCATTATCTATGATAATTGCTAATATTCTTTATAGGATATTTCTGTTATCAAAATATTTAAAAAGTGTTTCACAAATAGCAATTTCTGTATGCAATATAAGAACATTTTTAAATATCAGAACTAACTTTCAAAGCTTCCAATTTTTATTAACAAAATGACATATAATAGTTATATAACTAACAGTTTAATTAGATCTTTACAAATTAGTTGTATAACTTAGATTGCTAGATAATTCTTAAATTATCATATAGATTTTTGCTTTAAGCTTATTTAGTATTCCTAAATAAGTCAGTTCAAATAGGCTTATTTGTTACATTTCTAAGCTTGTCACAGGCTTGGTATAGCTTATAAGCCTGTATAACAATAAAAATTTAACTTAAATTTAATTTTAAATATAAAATTTAAAATTTAAAATAAAAATAAATAAATAAATATATATTTTGAATAATAATTATTTTTATAAATAATTTATTTTTTTACAAATTTTATTTATTAAATAAGATTATATAATTTAATATAATCAAAATTAATATTATTAAAATTTTAAAAAAAAGTGTGTGGGTTCTATAGCTTAGTAGTTAAGCTCCTATACCCTCCACAGTCAAGATCAATGGTTCAAGTTTGGCTAGAGGCAAAATTGAAAGATTTTAGCTTTTGTAACCTAATAAGAAGCCTGTAATTGAATATGAAGCCCTATAGTTAAGTCCAAGTGTAGTACAATAATGGAAATAGAAATTTTTGAAAGAAGACCCAATCGTGGAGTGCAGGCACTATGCATAACAAGCAGTTGTTACAGAAGATTATGGTTATGAAAAGATTGTGCATGTAAGTCCTTTAGGCTAGAGCAGCATTAACATCCTTATACCTCTTAATATAGGCAGTACCAATATCTCTGCATCCAACTTGTGGAGTACTTGCTTGGAAGGATAATCAATGGATTGTGCAAATAAGTCTTAATTAGGATTCAAGGAGAGGATTTGATTGGGAGAATATTCTAAAAATAACTATGACTAGAATGATGAGAGAAATGGTAAACATGAGAATGGACTATAATAAAGGATTGGTCTAACCAAAAATTGGAAGCACCTCTGGTATAGCTGAATAATCTAATTATAGAAAGGAAAAATCTTGAAGGTTGGCATATAACTTTTTTGTGTAATGTAAAAGTACCAAATCAAGTTCCTGGTCATATCTATATGAAAGTATATAATAAACAAGACTGAGATCAATCAACCAATGTGAGATAAGATCTGCAAGGTAGTATGACATCACTGGAGTCAGTGTAATTTCCTGGGGTATAATCAGAATTGTCTTGCAAGTATTATCGAATAAGCTGAAAGCTTGCAATATATGATAGTATAGTATTACTGGGGTTGAAGAAACTCTCTAGATATAACCAGAATTGTCCTGTTTGTAAGCACAACAAGTCTCAATCCTTATCATAGAAGAGAGCACTATGTTGGAGGTTAAATGCAGCATTGAGTTACTGTATGACATTAAGACCAAGGCATCTGCAGGAATAGCAGCAACAGATCTGGCTTAAGATACAGATTGTTCAAAAAGACCAATGGCAGTAACAGATCTGGCTTAAGATATGGTTTTTTGCAAATTCTAAACCATTGTTGGAATACTTTAGAGGAATCAATAACAGGCATACCAAAGATGGGAAGATCATAAGGATCAAACATACCCAAGTAGGACCAATTTGGGAGTCAAAAAGGTGAGAAATGTGGAGAACAAAGTAATACTAAATATAGTTAGATTAAGAGGCAGAAGAAACAAGACTAGGTAAAACATATGAGTGGAATATATAGATATGATTTACAGAAGACAGTACTCCTGGCATTTGGGATACTGTATTAAGTTCGGTAGGTATCTTTGTCTGTATAATAGTTTAATGATATGCCCTAACTACAAGTGGTTATTAAGATAACTGCATGCAGGCAGCAGTGAACATGCACTTAGATGCCATATAGGTAACCAGGTGAAGTTAGTAGTATAAAATTAGATAGTATATAGTACTAATAATAATTGATCCTAAAATGTAACTGTAAATTTGTACTATATTAAAATTAAAGCTAATAAACCAACTGGCATTGTCACCAAAGTTCAAAAAAAAAAAAAATTTAAAAAATATTTAATATTATAAAATTATGAAATGGTTTAGCGAAGCGACAATCATTTTAAAATGGATAAGCAAGATGTAGGTAAGATAAAAATTACATGCTTTGGCCAAATTTATTTGATCAGCTGCCCAATTTTAGAGTCTATTCTTACATGCAAGTATGACATCATCAATTTTTTTTTTTTTTTTTGTATATATACCTAAGTGCACTTCTCTTTTTCTTACTAGGCTGGTATTATAAATTGAGTGAGAGGGTTTTTTTTTTTTTTTTTGTAAATTAAGGGAGGGGACCATAATTTTTATCTTACCTACATCTTGCTTATCTATTTTAAAATGATTGTCGCTTCGCTAAACCATTTCGTAAATGAATATCGCTGATTTCGGTAAGATAAAAATCACGTGCTACTTTAGAGAAAAAACTATTCCAATGCAGAGTTAAGAATGGTAGAAGTCACATTATTACGTTCGAGCATAAGTTTTATTTCTCTTTGATAAAAACGTTGATAGACTTGATTGCTGGACCAGTTGCCTAAAGCTAGGATAGTGGCAAGATCTGCTCCTCCGTTTTGTGCAAAAAATGCTGCCATAACCCTAATATCCTTGGCTATAGCAGTAGGTGCTGAGTGTACGAGTAATGATTTTATCCATCATGCGATTGTGACAGATGAAGCTGGAGCATGTGGTGGCATAGAAGAAAGAAATACGCATTCTTTTTGTTCTCTTGTTGTTCTTAAATGTTGTGTAGCCTCGAGCATAGTTAATAAAGCTACTTTAGGGCTAAGAGATCGATTTTCAAAATCTCCTATAACAATCTTTTTTACTGAAGATCTTGTTGCTCTTGATCCCTGTGTTAACGCTCTTGAATTACTAATTTTGAGTTCTTTTGGGTTAAGACAATTTAATGTAATTGCATTGGTTGTAATGGTCAGGGATGTTAGATCAAGTCGGGACAAGTCTGAAGGTCGGCTTGCTGTACCTAATGCGCATAAAAAAGCTGTTTTTTGGTTGAGATATAACAATGAATGTTCTGTGTTATTATTGAGTCTTATAATATAATCAAGTGAAGATGTTAAATCGATCAGATCATCTGAACGAATTGGTGGTAGGTTCTCGTTATGGATAGCTTGCATTACTCTACAAACATCTGGGTGTTTGCTGATTGGCGTACTATCGATAAAGTCATGAATTTCGCTAATAGCTGACCTATACTCTGCAATTGTATTATATGCTTTTCCTGCCACTAGTTGGTCTAAAAGAAATTCACAAATAATAGACAAACTACAGGTTATTGGGTCCTGCTCTATTATTTCACACCAATCTAGCCACTTTTTAATATTAGAAGAAACTGTCATTGATGCCTTTGGATCGAATGCCTTTGTATATAATAATATTGCTCGCTCAGAGAAATTTTTCTCTTTGAGCTTACTCCTGATAAGAGCCATGCGAATATTTTCCACTGGTTAAACCTCCATGGGATCTTCGTTGTGCTGGGTCCCTGTATTATACAATGGGATGGTAGACGGATTGGCTGCTCTATTAGTAGAGACTGAAGTGTCAGGAACCATGGGGCTGACGGTCACCATGGAGCTATTAGACATATCGTGGTTCGTTCTTGTATTACTTTGGCTAGAATCTGAGGAATTAAAATCCATGGTGGGTTGGCCCATCCTTTTATCTTGTTCCACGACTGGTTTAGTGCATTTGTTCCTTCTGCAAATGGGTCTGGACGCTATGAAAAATATCTTGGAAGTAGTGCGTTCTTTTGGTCTGCAAAGAGGTCGATTACAAATGGACCCCAAATTTGATTTATTCGGTTGAACATGTGTTTCTTTATTTTCCAATCGAAGGGTTCTGGTTTTTGCCGTAAGGCTTGATCTGCCATAATGTTCATAGTGCCTGGTATGTGTTTGGCTATAATTTGAATGTTTTTTGACAAACAGAAATTCCATATTTTTTCTGTTAACTGGCTGAGATTTGTGCTTATTGTTCCACCTTGGTGGTTTAAATAGGCTACTACCATAGTGTTGTCTGATTTTACCCGGATGGTGCAATTCTGAATTTCTTTGAAGGATTGAAGCCCGTGATCTATTGCTTTCAATTCCAATAGATTTATGTGCTGTATTCGTTCTTTTCTGTCCCAAAAACCATATACTGTACGTTTTCCTATTACTGCGCCCCAACCTGTTAGGGATGCATCGGTGAACATTGTAATTCATGGTGTTGCTGGTATTATTGATTGACTGTTCCAATATTTCAGGTTCTTTATCTACCATTTGAGTTGAGTTCGACTCTTCATTGATAGGGTCAGGTATGAGTTCCATCCCCTGAGTTTGAGTGCAGTAATCTTGTCTCTCAATAGTGCCTGTAACTTCAATCAACTGGGAAAGACTGCTGCGGTTGCTGCGGTCAATTTCCCTATTAATGCTGCCAATTTGCGGATGTGGACTTGATCTTGTAGAAGAAGGGTTTTGCACTCCCTGATAATATCTTTGACTTTCTTTCGTGTTAGAGAAAGGGTCATTTTCTGTGTGTTTATGTGGAAACCTAGATACTCCAAATTTCGAGTTGGTGATAGGTGAGACTTTTCTCTGTTGATGTGAAACCCGCATTGAGTCAACAGTTGGTGTGTGATCTCTAAATGATTGAGGAGAGTCTTCTTCGAATTCACCAAAATTATAATGTCGTCTAGATATGCCACTATACGAATTCCCAAGGACCTGAGATGTGTTATCAGAGGGCGAAAGATCTTTGTAAATATTCATGGACTTGAGGAAAGTCCGAAAGGCAAAGACGTGAACGCATATCAGGTGCCATTGAAGTCGAAAGCGAAGAAGTGTTGAGAGTTTGGATTCAAAGGTACATGAAAGAAGGTATCCTGGAGATCTATTGTAACCATATAATCATTTCGACGAAGTAGATTCTTGACCATTTCGATTGTCTCTATTTTGAAATGGCTGTATTTGACATAACGGTTTAAGTTTCGTAGATCTATAACTGGACGAAGATCGCCAGTTTTTTTGGGTATAAGCAATAGGTTTGAAACAAAACATGGAACATTCGTGTCCAAATGGCATATCACTTTTTTGTCTAATAAGGACTGTATTTCTGAACATAAACTTGAAAATTCTGTAGGTTTGAAGTAACGTTTGGACATATGTTGTATGGAAATAGGTGGTGGTGTTAACCATATAGGCATATAACCTTCCGAAATAACTGATGTAACCCAGGATGAACTGAATAGCCGTAGCCATGAATGTGCACAGTATCTTAGATACCCTCCAATTTCTAATCCTAGATAAGGTACCTTTTCTGTTATTGTTGTTGTTGTTGTGATGGTGAGTGACTTCCTTGGTTCTGAAAGCCACCCTTTGTGGAGTTTCCCATAAATTGTTTGCACGAAAAATTATTGTAACTACGAGTGTATTCTTGGATGAATGGACAATTACGTGCCATAAAGTTTGGTCAATTGCGATGTGTTGTGTATGCTGGGACTGTTTGTTGACCTCTTTTTTTGTGCAATAGTGCCTTGTGGATAAGTTTATTGGTAGCGTTTTCTTTTTCAATAAATTCGTGAAGGCATTTACCAAATACTTCTGAGTGATCCGCTTTTGGTTTATAGTTGGGAGAGATAAGTTTAAGGGCTTTATCTCTTCGTATGTCATTGGTAAATGAAAGAGTATCCAATACCAAGGCTCTGGCCTGCAAAAGCGTAGTTTCAACCTCTTGCCATGCAGCTATAGATTCACCATCGTCATTTTCTGGACGTGATTCATAAGTGTTTCTAAGAAGATTATCAATTGGACGTAAAATGGTTGATGCACGATAAGCCACCTTTTGAAGCAGAGTGTCTGTATGTTTTGCCTCTTTTGACATGATTTGCCATAAAGGTGCATCCATGGTAGGTGGTTTGAACATGATAAGTTTATTGGCAGGTTGGTTTTTGATAATATTAAAATGATCATTCTTGGAGAGTGTATTATCATGATAAATGTCAGAAGTAAGCGAAAGCATTTCATTTGAAGGTTCCCAAGCTTTTGCCGTAGTATCCAAATGGTCATATTCCATTGTATCATTCGAATCGTTATGAATGTTCGTATCTTGATTAATATTAGTATCATTATTGACAATATCCGTTTCTTGGGTGTCAATAAGCGTGAACAACTGCCAAATAAAAACGGCCTAGTAAGAAAAAGAGAAGTGCACTTAGGTATATATACAAAAAAAAAAAAAAATTGATGATGTCATACTTGCATGTAAGAATAGACTCTAAAATTGGGCAGCTGATCAAATAAATTTGGCCAAAGCACATGATTTTTATCTTACCGAAATCGGCAATATTCATTTTATATTATATAAAAATATTATTTTAGTATTATAAAAATATTATATTATAAAAATATTATATTATAGGAATATTATATATATATTTTTTTTGTTTTTTTAAACTTAAGCAGTCATGCTAGTACTTTATTAAGATTCTTGAAATCACTTTTGCAATTAAATAGATTTATCTAACAACTAAGTCTAGCATTACCCAGCCACCTAAAGGGTATCTAAATGCAACTTGCTGTACTACTTTAAGCAGTCGTAGGCCACTTGTCTGACTACTTAAAGTCTATAAAGGAACAGTCTTCCCCTTTTCACAACAAGTCTCAACATTGTTTTTCTAGTTTCTTCATTGATATTATTTTTTTTTTCTTTTGCTAGTTTCCTTTTTTTTTAAATCTTTTGCTGACTTGCCTTTCTTTTTTTTTTTGGATCTTTTTTTTTAACTTCTTTTTTCTTCATTTTGGTTGTTATGTCTTCTTTTTTCTTCTATTTATTAATCTTTTTACACTATATTCTCCAAATTTGTTTATAGAATGTGTCTCATGCTGTCTTTGCTACTCTCTCTATAAACTGCTGTCTTGCTTTGGTATTTAGGAACTGTGTTAATCTTTTTTGTGTCTTTTTTGAAATTAGGCCTTTGATTAAAGCTTCTTTCATCTTTATTTCTTCTGTTTCACTTTTTCCGAAGAGTGCTGTATATAGTATATATGGCAAAATGTGAGTTTTTTTCTCTTCTTTCAACCCTTTCTAGGCTGTTGTGATGGTCACTTTTTGAATTCATTTTCAGAGATTTGCTTGTTCTTTGCACAATGCCAAGTGTAACTGTGTTTCTTTAACTTTATCTTAATATACTTGACATTCTGTTATTGTGTATATATCTGGTCATCTTCTGTTAAATTCTTCTAAGGTTGGAAGTTTATCTATTATATACTTGATAAATGCATATCTTCTTGTACTACTTCTTCTTGTTGTACTGTATATCCCTTTAGTTGCTTCAAGTTTTTTTCAGAATTGTGTCCAATCATAAATTATAATTTCTGTTTTTGGCTCCAACTTTTTAATTATATTTGTTTCTCTCCATTTTGCTCTTAATCTTGCATTTATTACCAGTTTGCATAACAGTCTTGCTAGAATGTCAGTTTGTCTGTTTTCCTACTCTAGGCAGTACTCTATCTCTTTACAACTGACTTTTTCTATCTGTATTACTTTCTTACTTGTTGTTCTCTTTTTTGTAAGACTATTAACTTTGTTGTTTCATTTGTTCTTGCTGTAACTTTTAACTTTCATTAACTCTATTTGTATCTTTTTCATGTTAATAAGATCTATAATCTTCATTATCCATATCACATTTTTCTTCTTAAGGATATTCATTTTATTTATTTGCTCTAAACCTCTATTAATATTCCTTATTGCAGCATTACTGCCTGTATATATTACTATTTGTCTCTTTTTTGGTATTGTTAGAATTGCTGCCCATATTGCTACTAATTCTGCAATTGTCAATGTCATCCATCTTTCTAACCCTAGTGATATTTCTTCCTCTGGCCACTTTTATGTCTCATTTGTCTAAATCCATTCTATATCTATGTTCTAAGCTAGTAATTCCTCTCTGGTCTTTGCACTTGTTGCACTATCTGTGTATATAGCAAATTTGCTCTTGTCTCTTGTTAAGTTTCTTCTTAGTATCTTTATAATTTCTTAGTTAACATTTTCATCAAGATTTTGTTACTTGATTATCTCTAGTTCTAGCTCTTCTATCATTATAGAATCTATAAATTTTTGCTCATTATCTCTTAATTTTTCTATTTCCACTTTTCTTGTTAATTGGTCCAATGCCAACTTGATCTTGTTGTTACTTTTCTCTATTGATGTATTAGAAATTACTCTAATCTTGTTGTTTAATCTTATTCATTGCTGGCAGCTATCTTCTATCTGTTCTTCTTCTTCTGTATAATTGTTACATTTGCTAATTTCTGTTGCTAATTCATTTTTTTTGTCTTGCATTTGCCAATGTTTTACTAAACTTTTCTTCTTTTTCTTCTTTACTATCTTCTCTAGCTGCCTGCAGTCTTGTGCATCATAAATTATTCATTTCTTTTTTCTTCTATCTTCTGATATATACTTTTACTCTATCTTCATCACTTAAATATTGTAACTGTTTGTCTTAAAACATTCTTTAACTTTTCTGTTTAATGTTCTTTTGAGTACTTTTAGCTCTATTTTTTTAAACCATTCAGCTTTTTTGCCTTTCTTGACTGCTCAAGATAGTTTTTAAACTGTTGCCATGTAATTAGACTTTCACCTTTTGTGTTGAGCAGTTGATTTAAGTATATTAGGCCTGTTTTGCTTCTTTTAGTTCCATTTTTTTTCTACAAATGTGTTTCTAAGAGCTTTTGTATTCTGGGACCATGTCCAAAGGTTCTCTATAAGTTACTTTCAGTTCTTATATTTATTTCTCATTCTCTTGCTTTTATTATCGTTAAACATACTAGATTATTCTTCCAACATCTAATATTAGCTAGAATCTCTTTTAGTTTCAAAATATCTTCTGTTAGGCCTGCTCTTTGACAGTCTTGTGTTATTCTTAGCTTTGTTAGCTGTCCTAAGTTGTTTGTTTAATCTTTCTAGCAGACCACTTTCTTGCTTTATTACTAGTTCTTGTTGTAATATATTTTTTTTTTTTAAAAGTGAGGTCTTGCCTCGATTTCTTTATTGATTATTAATATCTAAATACATTTTTATCTGTAG